TTTTTGTTTTATTTACTTTTTTGTGCGTTTATTTTTAAACATCTTTTTCCACAATTTCCGCAAGAAAAGCAACGTGCGAGGAGAAAACATATATCTATAGTATGTCCAAGTACATGTGAATATGTTCATTTATATGTACACTAGGGTGGGTTAATTTTGTGTGGAATGATTTTTTCGACATCCTTCCTAAAAACATTTGATTCTACATAGAATTCTAAGAAGAACAGTCTACCACCCAAATTTTAAAACTTACTTGAGAAAACGGCTCTTAGTTTGATTTAAATATACAAAAAATTAAATACAGTTTTTTTCTTATTACAATAACAAAAAATTATTTAAGTAAAAATGGATATCAAACATAAATTCGACGCCTCCAAACTAGTCTGCCTAAATCGTTGATGACTTAGCATGGTATGGTTTGGAGGTATTGAATTCTTCTTACCAAAAACTCTCAAGTACAAGTTTGTATTAAAATAATAACATCCCTAATATTTAAGTAAATATTAACCTACTATTAATTAAAGATAGCTTCTTTTAATTAGAATTAGAATTGTAGTTTTAATCCGAAACTGAAAAAATAACCCGCCCTACTGTACATACATGCGTACATATTGCACAATATGTACATTAGGGTGGTCCATTTTTTTTTTTTTTTAGCCATCTCCAGAACTGAAGTACATCGAAAATAAGGCACTTTTCTTTTTGAATTCGGTTAATATTTAGGTTTATTGTTTTTAAAAAATTTCATATGGGAAAAATAAATTTTTTCGTAGAATTTCCATAAAGTCGTTAAAAATAAAAAATTATTGGACCGTATGAATAAAAATCAAGCAATTGATTTTTCTTTAAAATTCAGACCTTTTAATTAAATTTATTTGAATAAATCGAGTAAATGTTCTAACATTTTAAGAAAAAGCAGAATCGATTATTAAAAATATTACCCTTCAGAAATCTTCAATTAATGAAATTAGCGCACGTTAATAAAATTTTAGAATTAAACGCTACTCATGCTTTTATTGTTGGAAGATTTCTGAGAGGAAATATTTTATTCGATTAAAAAATATTAATTTGTAACGATTTTATAACAATTTTTTCCCATATGAAATGTATGGAAAACTTCAAAGCTCCGGCGCACAGTGGGCGAAACCTTGTTGTCCAAATAAAATATCTTCTATTGAAATTAACTCTTTTGGGTATTTTTTTTTTAACTAAAGGTTAATACATATATTTCAAGGAACAATTTTTTAAATAAAATTTAAACCAAATGGTAAAGGTCACTTGTAGGTCAACAAATAATATTTACCAAACAAGAATTAGTAAAATTCTATTTAATAAAAATTGCTAACATTAATTTTTAACCTTATCTTCAATCTTAACCTTAACGTTAACCCTAACCCTAACCTTAACCTCAACCTTAATCTTATCCTCAACCTTAACCTTATACTAAGTTTACATGTGGGTGCGCTTCGATATAAAACACATATTCAAAAACGAAGTATTACTTGTTGACCTACCTTGAATATTTGGTTTAAATTTTTTTTACATATTTTTCCATTGAATTTCCTTGAATTAATTTTATTAAAATAAGACGAAAAACAGTTAATTACAAGGCGATTAAATGTTAACCGATTTCAAAATAAAAAAAGTACCGGTCTCGTTATTTGCCATTTTCTATAATTCTGGGGGATGACAGCAAGAAAATAGAAAGAATTTAATTTTCCTGCATATTGTTGGACCACCCTAATGTGGATATGCACACAAAAAAATATACACTTATATATAAGCATGCATGCATGTTCAGTGTTGCCTGTCACCCCACAAATCAGCAGTAGATATATGTATGTATGTATGTAGCTCTAACGAATCATGAAAATCTATCTAAATAAATATCTCTTCCTGCTCGGCAAATGAAGGCCAATGTCCAACCAATAAGCATTGATACTGACTAGCACATAAATACATACATATGTATGTCCATAAGTATATATGTACATAAGTATGTGCTTGTATATGTACATTACTGTTTGCGAATTTCGTTTATTGTTGTTATTCTTTATTTGTACCGCCTTTTTGTTGCTAACTTCTCTAGCTTTTTTGCAACATTGTAATGTAAAATAATAATAATAATATTTATCTAAACTGACTGCCTGGCGCGCATCACGATTTGGTGAGAATTTACTTTTCATGACTTTTTTCAAACCATTTTTTTATGATTTTTTTTTTTCAATTTCTGTTGAGCGTGCTGCTGCTGCTTTTCTACAACAAAAATTTGGAATTTTCCTTTTTATAGCCATCAGGTATTGACTCGCTGACGAGTGACGCATCGAACGGTTGCCAAAAAAAGTTCTACGCTTTTTGTTGTTGTTGGCGGATATATTTATATGTCTTCTAGTAGAAAGTGTGTGGTTTTTTTATGTACACAATTTGTAAATAATTATTTTTTCTAAAAATACTCGCACATATCTGATTTTAACTAAATACCCTATAAATATTTGTGCTACATACATTCATTAGTTTTATTTTGAAAAAAAAAAATACGCTGCTAATTTTAATAGCTCAATAATGTTGCTGACTAGACTCATTAGCATTTTTTCGTAATTCTTTAGAAGAACGCTTTCAAAATGCTATAAAAGAGCACTAAAACAATTATTTAGTTTTGCTTTTCTTTTTTTTATGTTTTAATTTTCGAAACAAATTTTTTTGAACTTCAAAATTAACGCCGTTAATTGGGCAAACACCGCGAGTGTCTTGATTAATTTTCCAAAACAAAAAAAAATATATATATACATATATATGATGTGTAAACATCTGTGTATGACTGAGCAAAGCGACTCAGTTACATACATGAATAAGTTAGGTTAGAAATTGAAAATTTATTTCATTTCATTTCGTTAATTTTGTCAGGACCAGTACAGGATTTTTTCCATAACACTCCGGGAATAGTTCGAGTTACTTCAGGATCATTTCGTGACCCATTTCGACCCCAAAATGATGCAGAACTAGTTCCTAAATTGTCCCGAACTAGTCTCGACAAATAGCGCCGAAATGATCCCGAACAAGTCCCGCAATTGTCCTAAACTAGTCCCGATTTTTAAACTAAATAGTCCCCATTTTACACACAAGCTTCAGATAAAGTGCATTTGTGATCGCTTTATGCCTATCGGGATTTATGTTTTTCTCTGCTGTGGGTGCTTGGTGTCCTATGTATTTGGGTCGAGCTTCCCCTCAAATGTATGCCCTTTGGTCTTGACGTTTTCTGACAAATGTAGGAAACTAAAATACGGCTAACCGAAGATAGTAGGTGAAATCCTTGGTATATCTAACTGACTGAACTATTTAAGGTGAGTACATAGTTAGAACATGCTTACAGGGCAATTCTGGCAACCGCCTTTCAACCCACCACAGTCTTTCAAAAGACAAAAATCTTAAAACTATCAAGAAAGCTCTTCTCTGTCTTTCAAGATACTAACTAAGATCTTAACGTTATTCTGTTTGTCTTTTAGCAATAAGTTTTCTTAAATTTAAATTAAATTAAAAATATTTTTTTTCAAACATAAAAACTAAAAATTAAAAAATAAACTAAATTTAAAGAACAAATAATTAAAGAAGAAAAAAATCTTAAAAATTAAATTAAATACAAAATAATAATATTTTTTTTTTAGAACCATAAAATCTAATTATTAAAATTAAATAAGAACAAAAAAAGAAAAAAGCATAAGTACAAAAAAGAACAAGTAATTAAAAAAAATATGTTAGCTTGTAAGCTAATAAGTAGAGCTCGGATTTTTATGCAAATTGAAGATGCAAAATATATGCAAAATGTGTGCAAAATATATGCAAAAAATAGTAATAATTATGCAAAATATATTAATAAAGTTTATAAAATGTACATATGGATTAGATAAGCTAAAAAAAAAATTTTATTCAACAATTTAAATGACACCTAAGAAACAAGACCGCATATCTTCAAATTTATTAACAACTTGTATTTAGTTAACTCTTTAAACTACTTTGGTAGTAGCTGTGGAAAATCATCCGCATTTGCGGCAGGGGCACGGGTTCTGGAGGCTCCAAACATTGCCCAAAACCCCAGCGTGTAGGTGATGCTAATCCTCTCTTCTTCTCAATCGGAAGAGGACCAATC